TCTTAAAAATGAACATTGGGCAACTGTTTATAATTTTCGAGCTGTTGCTGGTTCTGGAATTTCTTGTGAAGTTTCTAATTTAACAAATGTAGAAGCTTCGATTATTTCTCAGCCATCAGAAGATAATGATGAATGGCCAAGAGTTAAATTAACTGGACTTTCTTCTTCTGATTCAACGAATGATGTTGAGAAAAATGTTGAATTTCTTTCTATTAATCAAAATAAGGTAAAAATAAATATTTAATTAAATCGTTATTTACACGTGTGTAAAACAATTGATAATGAATAATAAATTTTATAAGAGAAAAGAAAAAACAAATAGTTTATATTTTTAGATACTTTCAATTTCTGAAGATTGGAATTCATTAGAGCAATATACTGTTGTTATTGGAACTGAAAGTTGGCTGTCTGAAAATAATATTCAAATAGATAATTCAATTCGTGAAAGTTTGGAAAATGAAAGACAATTGGGGAATATTTCTGTTTTATGTGCTATTAATGGTATTTTTTTAGAAAATTATGTAAAATCTTTTTAATTTTTCTAGGAAGAATTGCAGCAGTTATTTCAATTGTAGATGAAGTAAAAAAAGAAGCAGCATTAGTTGTTTGGGCATTACAGAAAATGGGAATGAATGTTGTTTTGTTAACTGGGGATAATGCTAAAACGGCTGAAGCAACTGCTAGAAAAGTATTTTTAAAAATAATTTTTATTTTAAATTAATTATTAATTTTAGCGGGAAAATTAATAAAATTGAAAAATAGATGGAAAAATTTTAAAATAAAAATAAAGTTGGAAGAAAAATTTGTTTTTAGAACGATTTAACGGGAAATTATAGAATTTGATGAAAAACATTTTAAAAAAATTTAAAATTTTAAGATTGGAATTCATCAAGTTTTTGCCGAAGTATTGCCAAATCAAAAAAAGGATAAAATTCAACAATTTCAAGTAATTTAGAAATAGTTTTTAATTGTTTAAAATAATATTTATTTTTTAAGGTTAATGATAATATTGTTGCAATGGTTGGAGATGGAGTTAATGATAGGTAAAAGAAAGGGAGAAATTTAAATTAAATATTAAGAAATTTTTTTATTAAAGTCCAGCATTGGCTGCAGCAAATGTTGGTATAGCTATTTCACATGGTTCTGATGTTGCTATTGAAAGTGCTGGAATTGTTCTTGTTAAGGTTAGTTAAATTAATTTTTTATCGGTTAAGATCTTTGGGATTGTTAAATATTTAACGAAAAAAAATATCTTTCTTTGAACCCAAATTAATCGACTTAAAATATATTTTTTAAAAGAATAATTTGGTTGATGTTGTTGGAGCAATTTTATTATCAAAAAAAGTTGTTCGACGAATAAGAATTAACCTTTTTTTTGCTTTTATTTATAATTCTATTGGTATTCCTCTTGCTGCTGGAGCTTTTAGTCATTGGGGTTTTTATATCCAACCTTGGATGGCAGCAGCAGCAATGGCTCTTTCTTCTGTATCTGTTGTTACTAGTTCTTTAATGCTACATAATTTTAAGTAAACAATTTTTTAAATACTTTTAAAATATGGCAGACTTTATTTTGGGATTATGACTTTGTGAGATTTTATAAGAAAAAGCAAGGCTTGCTAATTTGAGCTAAAGCTGCTAAATGGCATTATGCAAGAGTAAAGGTATAAGTTAGGAAACTTGGCTTGTAAGCCAGTAATTAATTTCAACCATGACCTAATTAGGGTTTGGCTGTAAATAATTGTGACAAAAATTTAAAATTTATTTTAGAAAAATATTTTAATTTTAAAGAAAACCAACAGACCGTTCTCTGTCCAATGCAGAATTTAGACGTTATAAAAAGAAGTTACCTAGTCAAGAAACTGTAAATGTATATAAAGGATTTATGCAGTTAGGACAACAATTAAAACAAAAGAAGGGATTAATTGAAGCAACAGAAGCAGATTTTTCTTTGTTAGAAAATGGAGGAAAGAAAAAGAAAAGAGGATGGTTTGGAAGATTAAATAGAGGAAATATAACACGTTCACCACCCCCACCTTTAAATGGAAATGGTGAAAAATCTTTTGTTGACAAAGATGCCTCTGAAAGGTAAAAGAAAAATATTTTTGTAAAATTTTTCTTTTTTACAGATTTCTTTCATCAGAAAATGAAAGCGATGATCCGGAAGGGATGGAAGTAGTTGGAACTAAAAGATTTTTTACTGTAAAGGCCTAAACTTGCTTAAAAATTATTTTTAAATTTTCTACTTTATTTATTTTAATTCCGGTGTTTAATATTTTGTCCTTCGCCATATCAATTTATTTTTTATAAAAAGCAACTGATATGTTTTGTATTTCCTTTTGTTTTTTAAATTATAGAGATCAAGAAAGTCTTGAGATTCTGTTAGTATTTTAAAAAAGTATTTCTCAATTTCTAAATCTCTTATTTTATGCTTTAAATTATTCTAAATGTACCAAATATGCATTCCATTTTTTGTAATTTCTAAATATTTTTTATAAAAATCCTAATAACAAAATTGTCATTTTTTAAATAAATTAAATGATTCTGAACAAACTTATGAATAGTTTAGTCTTTATTAGACATCTTGTGCTACTGTAAGGAGCAGAGGTGAATCGGAATTTCGGTTTCCGACGTTTTTTCATTCCGATTTCCGAAATTTTGTAAAAACTTTGGATAATTTTTGAAGCATATTTCTGACTGAAGATTTTTCCATTTTTAATATTTTCGCCTGCGGCGCTAATAGGAGGAATCCCTGATCTACTAAATAACAATTCCAGTTATGGAATTTAATTAAATATACATTTGAAAACATTTAATATACCTATTTACATAAATTATCAAAATTATATCCAAAAAACGGTCAAGCTAATTTTTATGCCCTAAATTTTTATTTTTACACCAAGGCTTTGATTTTATTACAAATATAAACAATCATAAAATTACATCAACCTTGTTTGTGTTAAGTTCTCACTTCAAGTCCCTAACAAAAACTACAACACTTTAGAACAAGTCAAGAATTCAGTTTATCCGAATACCTTACTCCCAGCTTTTTTCCTTATTTTAACACAAAGTCAAACGTTTATTTCGACCCTATGATATAAACAAAACAAAAAACACAAATACATATTTACATAATCACAACTATATACAGTCGTGGAAAAAAGTATGGAAGCGCTAGAAAATTTTTTCTTAATTCTTAATTTTTCATTCAAAAAATACGTTCTATATACCAATCGAAAGCTCTATTCGTATCTCAGTTGACATGTTTCTGCATTTTTCATGAAAATGAAAATTGGCCGAGATAATCCGGATCTACCGGATATACCAAATCCCACTTTTTCGGAAAAAATTTTCGGAACAAATTTAACAAACCCAAATGATAAAGCATATTTTTCTGAGTATTTTCCACAAAACCGCTAAGAAATATCTATTTCTAGAGCAGAGATATGATTTTTTGAAAATCGCATTTTTCGTCTATTTTTGCAAAAAATTCAATTTTTAAGGGAAAAATGCCATTTTCAAAAAATCATATCTCTGCTCTGGAAAAAGATATTTCTTAGCGGTTTTGTGGAAAATACTCAGAAAAATATGCTTTATCATTTGGGTTTGTTAAATTTGTTCCGAAAATTTTTTCCGAAAAAGTGGGATTTGGTATATCCGGTAGATCCGGATTATCTCGGCCAATTTTCATTTTCATGAAAAATGCAGAAACATGTCAACTGAGATACGAATAGAGCTTTCGATTGGTATATAGAACGTATTTTTTGAATGAAAAATTAAGAATTAAGAAAAAATTTTCTAGCGCTTCCATACTTTTTTCCACGACTGTATATACAGTCGTGGAAAAAAGTATGGAAGCGCTAGAAAAATTTTATTTAATTCTTAATTTTTCATTCAAAAAATACGTTCTATATACCAATCGAAAGCTCTATTCGTATCTCAGTTGACATGTTTCTGCATTTTTCATGAAAATGAAAATTGGCCGAGATAATCCGGATCTACCGGATATACCAAATCCCACTTTTTCGGAAAAATTTTTCGGAACAAATTTAACAAACCCAAATGATAAAGCATATTTTTCTGAGTATTTTCCACAAAACCGCTTAAAAATATCTTTTTCCGGAGCAGAGATATGATTTTTTGAAAATCGCATTTTTCGTCTATTTTTGCAAAAAATTCAATTTTTAAGGGAAAAATGCCATTTTCAAAAAATCATATCTCTGCTCCGGAAAAAGATATTTCTAAGCGGTTTTGTAGAAAATACTCAGAAAAATATGCTTTATCAAATGGGTTTGTTAAATTTTTTCCGAAAAATTTTTCCGAAAAAATGGGATTTGGTATATCCGGTAGATCCGGATTATCTCGGCCAATTTTTATTTTCATGAAAAATGCAGAAACATGTCAACTGAGATACGAATAGAGCTTTCGATTGGTATATAGAACGTATTGTTTGAATGAAAAATTAAGAATTAAATAAAATTTTTCTAGCGCTTCCATACTTTTTTCCACGACTGTACAATTATGAGGTCAACATACAAATACAAGCGAATACACAAGCAAAATACAACAATGAATATACAGGAACATATCACTATATCACAGCAGAACATTCCTCTGTCCCAACTAACGCTTAGTCTGCTTATAGATGCGCTTAGATATGGCCTGAATCAGTTTGTCAATTGCTTCCGTGTCCACTTTGAACCTGCCCGCATCAGCCTTGTTCTTCGCGTACCTGTGAAGGAAAATTGAAATTTTAAGAAATTTGCAAGGTGTGCCTTTAGTATCCCTTACCGGAGAAAGACGCTGTAGATGTACAGGTACTGATCCAGGGTTTGCACACTGCCTGCCCGTTGACGACGCAAATCTGCCACCAATTCGTAGAAGTCCAGACGCTGCCCAGAGCGCAGTGTGTTCTGAGCCAAGTAGATCATGACGATAGTCCCGGTCCTGCCAATACCTAAAAGCCAGAAAAATTGGTCAGAAATTAATTTTTTTTATTGTGGTCATTCACCTGCCGAACAGTGGACGACTATTGGCTTGTATTTCCCGATGTAGAAGAGCAGTCGTAGCGCCGCAAGATGGTTCATAGGCACTCCACGATCGGGCCAACGTCTCCAATGGAAGTGACGAACATTCGCTTGCCGCTTTGGATTGTCGCTGGTGACCTGCAGGCGTGTCCGAATAAGATGGTTGTCGTCCAGTGCCTCCGTGTCCACGAACCGAACTCTTATGTTGCCGTCCCGACTGGTGATTGCCTGTAAAAAACAAAAGCATTAAATTTATGCCTCAATCTACAGAGAAGCTAACCGATTCTGGTGTATTATCCTTAGGCCAGTACTGGTGACACTTGGGACGATTGAGCTCAACGGTGTCACATAACATCACAACCGCCTCAACTTTCTCCTGCAGAACCATTTCCCAGAAGTCGCCAACTGTCTGCGGAAGAGGGCCCTGCGTGCAGATGTATCGCCGATCACCTGAAAAAGAGTTTTGCTTTGTTTTAAACATACCAAATTCCACCTTGGCTATCAATCCAGTTGGCGTGTATGTAGCGTCCGTTTGTCAGAGCGACCCGGTTGTTCTCGACGCAGATGACATCTCGATAACGGTTCAGGGTTGGATTGCTACAAAAATGAAATAAGTGAGCGTTAAAAACAACTTAGCTAGAAAAAATCACCGTGCAAATTCCTCAGATGGTTCCGGTCGCGGTTGGCTCTGAAGACGCTCGAACTCAGATTCCAGATCCGTCAGCTGTTTCCTCGAAGTCTCCTGGGCCCAGGCCTGAAGCTGCTCAATGAACGCTGCGTCTTCGTTGCTGTCCTCGACGGTTTTAGGTCTGTCGGGTGGTGGTCTTCCCTGTTGTCGAGTAGTACCTGCACGGCTCTGTGGACGTCGTCGTTCGCTGCTGCCTCGCTGCCCAGCCGATTGACGAGTTGTCCTTGGGGTGCTTCCGGAAGATGAGCGTCCTCTTGGAGTGTCTCCTCGGGCGGCAGTGACGATGTTGCGGTTGTTGCGGCTGGTCATGTAGTGTAGACGAGCGAAGTTTAGAAGAATGGAAGTCGGTTGAGTTGAATGTTGGTTGGGGTTACGTTTTGAGGCTGGCTTTTATAGCATTCGCTGGAAAGAATAATGTGTAGTGTATAAAAGCCAGTGTTAGTCTAGTTGGAGCATGCTAGTCCGCTAGTCCCGAATCTCTTTCGTCTTTTCAAGCCCGGTCCAGTTTTGCGTATATTGTGTTTTCTGCCCTGCATAAACTGTAAATTATTCTTAAAATATGCTTTAAATTATTCTAAATGTACCAAATATGCATTCCATTTTTTGTAATTTTTAAATATTTTTTTATATAAAAATCAAGTTAACAAAAGTGTCATTTTTAAATAAATTAGATGATTCTGAACAAACTTATGAATAGTTTAGTCTTTATTAAACATCAACAGATATGGTTTAGATGTATTAAGGAAAAAGGAGAATTTTGATTAAAATTATTTTTGATTGGTTATAAATATTTGAAAACATTTAATATATTTATTTAAATTAATTATTTTAAAATTATTTATGGACAAATAAAATTTTTAAATGTTAACATTTCTTTCCATTCTTGACAAACATTTTTAATTATTTCATTATTAAATCCTTCATTATTAATCATTTCATCATTATCATTATTATTCTCTTCTTTTTTAATTTCAAAATTATAAATAAAATTCCTTCAAAAAAATATATATTTTTTAAGCCTTTCAAATTTTCCTTACCAAAATTTCAGACTAAAAACATAAAAATTTCTTTTTGGAATATCAAATCCATTAAATTTACTAGCAGCAACACTTGTGTATGCCCCCATATTTTTATAAAATAACCAATCCCCAATTTCCATTTTTGGCATTTTTGTATTTTCTTCAATTTGGTCTAAGCCGTCCTTCAAAAATTAATTTTTTATTTACTCTTTTTTAATTAAAAATTTACACAAGTTTGTCCCCAAATAATTGTTGGAATTAAATTTAAATTATCATACTCTTCCTCTTTTTGAAATAAAGGTTTGCCTAAAGGATGGAAATGATCAAAGAGAATACAATTGAAAGAGCCGTAAACACTTTCATTTAAATATAACCTTTTTAATTTAAAAAATTAAAATAAATTTCTCTCAAAAAACTACATTTGTCCTTCTTTATTTAAATCTTTTATTCTTTTGGTTACTCTATATGCAGATACTTTAGTAACAGAAATTAAATTTGTACAGAGAGAAACAAGGGAAGATGCAAAATAACGGCCCTTAAAAAAATTAAAATAAAATTTAAATTTTATCTTTTACCGGTTCAGCAATTATTTCAATATTATTGTTAGAAGGAAAATATTCATTTAAAGAATTTTGTATAATCTTTACAATCTGGAAAATATTTAAAATTATAAAGGAATTATATCTTTGGTGTAATTTAAAACTCAAAAAAATATCTACCAAGGATGTCTCGGGTTGAGAAAAAAGTCGGGTCGTGTCGAAAAAAGACAGGGTTTCAGCTAACCTGAGACATCCCTGGTATCTACATATATCAACCATCGGATATTTAAAAATTTACCTCAAAAAACGTTATTTGTTCATTATCTTGTCCAGGAAACCCCCCACCAATATCCAATAAATTCATTGAATGTCCCTCCAAAATTCCAAAATCAAAAAGTTTTTTACAAGCACAAATAGCCAAATTAAAAGCTTTTGGATCTCTACAACCACTTCCAACATGAAAAGAAATTCCAATAATTTTTAACTTCATTTGACTAGCTTTTTTAATTAAATTAGGGCCCTCAATTAAAGGATCACAACCAAATTTTGTAGCTAATGGACATTGAGCTGTTGGATCAGAAACAGAAATACGTAAAATAAGTCTTAAAAATATTTAAAATTAATTTAAATAAATTTCCAACTCTGGTGAAGAATGATTTTCTTTTATTTTTATCAATTCCTCTAAACTATCAAAAGTCATTCGACGAACACCTAAAAATAATTATTAAAATTACTATTCTCATACTATTTTTAAATCCAAAAAGCTTTATTAAAGGAACATCAAACTATATTAAATACGTCCGGGATTAAAAACTGTGAACGAAGTTATAATTCCGCGACGGCTTCTAATAATTATCAGAATTTATCAAAAAATGGATTTCTCATTAATTTGTATTTGGGCTATTTGGGGGAAAGGAGTTAATATTTAAGTCTCTTTAATCTACCAAGTTTGTCAGCATGTTGAATATATTTACGTGTTTTGCATGGATTTGCATAAATAATATTATCAGCATTTGTTAATCCATTTGTGATTATCTTTAAAGAATTTTTTAAAATAAAACATTAAATATTTATTTACTTGATCAATTTCCCCTCTACTAGCACAATCAAAACCTTTTTAAAAAATTAAATATTTTTAAATATTTAAATTAAAAACTAACCACATCCAAGGTCAGCCAATAATTTCAAAAGTATTGGATCATTATTGCATTTAACAGCATAAAATGGCTAAAAAATATTTTGGAATTTTTTAGATTATTGGGGTAACCTTTATACGAGGTAACATTTCTCTCCATTGTAATAATCGTTGAACTACTACATCCAAATTATATATAGAAAATGCATCGTCTATTTTCTGATAGAGATAAAAATAATTTAAAAAAGGGGGCTTTAATACAAAATCCCGGTTTGTCTTACTTAAAAGTCCCCCCCCCCCTCTATATTGTTTCCAAACATCCATTCTCATGTCCGATAAAAAGAGATATCACCCCCCCCCCTCCCCAGCCTCCCAAAAAATATTTACTTTTTCATTTAATTTCGTAGCTATACTTTTTGCAATAGCTAAAGAAGCAATTTCTCCATCATTTTCAAATAATGACTGTTCATAAATTCCAATTTCCTTTCCAGCCAAAATTCCAAATTTAACAGGTTCAAAATTTCCAATCATTTTTATCAAAAAATCCAAGGAGGACCGCCCAAGCAGAGCCGGCAGTGTTTGCCTAAGCTTCTGCGGCGAAACGAGACGAGTAAATTATTTGTGCCGATTTTGATATCGGCTATTCCCCGTCTGTTTTTATGTAAAACCCGCACACAAGTCGACAGTGGAGGACTTGCGAGGGCAAAAAATTTCAATTTAAAAAATCTGAAAATTAATTGAATTTTAATTTAAAAACAAAAAAATATTTTTAATTAAACAAAAATACAGCCAGAGATTGGCTAGACAAAATCAAATATTTAATAAATATCAATTTTTAGAATTATAGGGGTTTTTCTAAGAACGGAGAAAGTTCAATTTTAAGAGTCAAATATTTATTATTAATTTCAAAATTTTTGATATTTATATTTTAACTTTAAATATATATTTATATTTTCTGATAAAAATAAAATAAAAATATTTATCAAATAGATAGGGGGATGATAAGAAAAAGTTGAAGGTAAAAAAGAATAAAAATTATAGATATTTTGGGGGAATTCCTTTCTCTTCGTTTATCATTATGAAATAAAATATAGAAAATATTAAACACAAAAAAAAGAAAAAAAATGATGACAAATATTTTAGAAAAAAATTGTTTGTCTAATAAACAAAAAATATCTATAAAAAATACTCTAATTTTTCTAAACTTTTAATCTTCAAATTAAAGTCGAGCTTAGATTGTTTTGATTAAATTTTAAAAACAAAAGAAAATAATTAAATAAAAATATTTTTTTGTGTCTTTTAGATAATTTTTAACCTAATATTTTGAAAAAAAAGTAATATTTTATTTTCTGAATTTTTAATTAAAGTAAAAAAATATATTTAAGAGATTAATTTTAGAGATTACTATTCATAAAACAAATAAAAAAACTAAATCACAAGTTACAAACTATTATGTATTTTGTGTACTTGGAAAATAAAACAAAAAACAGAAATAGAAATTGGACTGTAAATACTTGGGAATTTAAAAAAAATTTAAAAAACTAAATTAAAAATTTGGATTGAAAAATTTCAAAATTATTAGTTAATGATTTTTAATGCTAGAAATTAAAAAAAGAGAAGAGAGAGAGAGAAAGAATTACGTATTTAGTCTGCTTAAGTTGACAATATTTTACCCAATATTTACTTTTCTAATTCAAAAAAGCAAATAATGAATCACTTGAAAAACTTCTTTTTTTATTAATTTGTAGTTTGTTTTTTAATCTTTTTTGGAGATTTATAAAAAAAATAATTAAATTTTAATTTATTAATCAAAGAATGCTTGAAAATAAAAAATACCAGGTTATTTTAAATCTTTAATTTCCTTTAAAATTAATTAATTTTATTAAATTAAAATTAAAAAGAATAATAAATAATTGGATTATCATTAAAATTTTTCCTTTTAGAAAACCCCAAAACCATACAAATTGAATCTAAATTAAATAATTTAATCATTTGTCCATTTGGAGACTAAAAAATATTTTTAAAAAATTTAATTTTTAATTTCCCACCTCAACATATAAACAAAGAGAACATTTTATATTATTAACATTAAAATTTTCTTTAGAAGGAGGAAGAATATCAGAATTAATTAATTTTGTATGAAGATCGCCAACTTAAAAAATAAAATAAATTTGTAAATGTTAAATAGTCTAACTCCCAAAGATTCTCTTAAAAATCGGAGGTTCGGGTTTGTGAGAAAGAGGGACTCATAAAGTCCTAAATGGAATCTTGGTTAGGCGGACGGGGTCAAAAAGCTTGTATCCAATTATAATTTTTTCAGAGAGAATGAAAAAAGGGAGAGGGAGGATGGACGTTTTAAACATTTAATTACCACCAAATTATAATTTCAATTTAAAATAAATTTACCAGTAGCTAAATGAGGCAAATGAACACGATAATATTGTTGTGAATTAATTAATAAAGGCTTTAAATAAATTGTAACATTTCCCAAAGGTAAAGTATTTTTAACATATTCTTTTAAATAAATATCCATTTCCGGTAATAATTTAATATTTTCTTTAATATTTTGATTCTTTGGAATATTTTCTTCTTTTTCTTCAAATTTTTGACGTTTATTTTTTATAAAAATATTTTCATTTTCAAAATCTGATGAAGAATTAAATGAAGAACTTTTACTGAAATTAAAAAAAATATTTTTAAAATATAAAAAATATTTTTTTGTGTTTTTAAAAATTAGTGTGGCTTAAATTTAAATAACTGAAATGCTCAAATAATTACCCCCTCTATTTGCTAACTACCACCTCAAAACATTTTAATAAAAATATTAAAGAAAAATCAACTTTGTTGTCAATTTCATTCACCCCAAATCCAGACCTATTCCCTAATAATTACCCCTCTAAGGATTGAAACAATAATTACCCTGGGAATAATTTCAATATTTACAGCATATCTCTTAAAATCCAGTAATTTACATTTTTCTCAAAATTTAATCAAAAATACGAAAAAATACTTTCAATTTTTTCAAGATTATTTAAATCGACAATAATCTCGAAAAACAGTCAAAGCTTCAAATAATTAAAAATTATTTCCTACTCAAAATCATTTAATTCATCATTATCAGAGCTGGAAAAGTCATATTCTTCCTTTTCATCATTGCTGGGAAAATCATTTTCTGAAGATGAAAAATCATCAAAATTGTCATCATTTTCAACAGTTAAATCTCTAATTTTTGTTGGGGACTAAAAAAAGATTTCTTTGTTCTCTTTAACCTCTTAATTACCTCGCAAGTACTTTCCATCAAAATATTGTGAATTTTTTCATAAATATTACGATCGGGCCAAATTGTGTCAATAAGTAAATCAATATTTGGATCTGAACGGAGATTTCTTTTTGAGACAATTTTCCTTCGACAAGTTGGACATTGACGCTGAAATTTTGATTTTTTTAAATTTAGAATAATTAAATACATTTGTTTTGTAAATAGAATTTTTAATACAATCAGCACAAAATCGATGAAGACATTCCTGTAAATATTTGAAATAAACATATTTCTCTAGTGATTTTTAATTCTACCTTAATATTTAAAAAATGACTGATCCAAAAAAAGGGATTTGCATCAAGAATGTTGACTCCTACACTTTCAGCCGAAACTATCTTCAGACAAAAAGACAACCCCTATTGGCGATTTAGCCTAAGAAAGGTCAAAAATGTTCAACGACGGTGCCAAAAATAGTAAATCTAGCTTTGTGGACAAATAAAAAAAACTCACCGTAACAGTTGTATTTCTTAAAAGATCAAGGCAAATAGGGCAAGTTAGACTCGGGCCTAATTTCTTCACCAAGACAGGCATTTTAATACCTCCACTATTGACAAGTTGCTTATGTGGAGGACGAACCTAAAAGACAATGAAAAGCAAAAATCATTAAAATTATAAATATACTTCATCATAATTGGTCTCTTCATTATCGCATGTATTAAAATCTGGATTTATTACGTCATCTTCGCATTCCATTGTTTCTAAGAATCTATGCGAATATAAAAAGTAAATAAAAATCAAGAAAAGTAAATAAAATTAAAAACTTTGAATAAAATCAAATAAAAAATTTAAATTAGCAATTATTTGGCAAAATGTAAAAAATAAAATTTAAGGGAACGTTTCAGTCCCGTCGTTACAGCCGACGTTACAGTCCTGATTTTAATTCATAATATCTGTTGAAAGCTTTGGTTTTTCATAGTTTTGTGTTCATATTTTTTTATTTCTTTTAAAATTTACTTTTTAGTTTGATTTAAAATGATTTCTGAAGATTCATTTATTCGTGATGGTGATTACTCTATTCTTCAAAAAGTTGGAGGTGAACAACTTCGACCTTGTCGTCTTTTAAGTGGACAACGTGCACTTATTGAAAAGCTTAGTTTTGACCCGACAATTGCTTTTGGAAAGCCGTTTGGAATTTTTGAGGTTTTTTGAAAAGGAATTTTCTAATTTTGGAAGTTTTTATATTTTTAAAAATTTTGTCAGAATTTTTAATGTTGTCAAGATAAAATTATTATTTCTTTCAGGTCTGCTCTAATGGGAAAACATCGACTGATTTACGTCAAAACGAATCTTTTAGTGACATTCATCAAATTGAACTACAACAGAATGATAATATTAGTTTAGCTTCTGTAAACGGTTTTGTTTTAGTTTTATAGTCTTCCATGGCCTTTTAAGTCCTTACCAGGGTCAAAGATGACGATAGTATATACTTGATACTCCCAGGGCCATAATGTTTATTGTTTTGAAGAGGATTTTTACTTCACAAAAATTTATAAAATTTTCTCTTTGGCTATTAACTAATCTTTCGATTTTTAAATTAATATGCTGCGTATATCAAATGAAAAAAATAAATATGTGTATTTAGATCAAAAGCAAATAATCACTTCCGATGATATTGCAAAACTAAAAGCTGAGGGATTATCAACTGAAAATTTGGTTTTTATTTTTAAAAATAATTTTTAACTTATTTTTATTTAGGTATCAAAACTTGTCAATGGCAATTCTTCTTTCAAAGATCGTTCACAATTTTCAAAAGAAAAATATGTCCGTAAAATGACTAAAAAACATTCGGTAAGAATATTTTTTGATTGAAATATTTTTCAATTTTGACAGGGAAAAGTAATGATTTCTCGTCCAAACATTCGTCTTCTTTGTCAATCTTATTTTTATAAAGATCCAGAACGATTATCACATTTGAGGTTTTTCTTCTAGATTAAATTTTAACGTAAAAAACTACTTTTTAAAGATTGGATCAATTGTCCCTTCTTGTTCAATTTTTAAATATACATTCGTGTGGATGTAATATATTTGTGTATGAAAATGTAAGAATATTTTTTTAATTGTTATAGGGCACAAATTAAATTTTAAATGAATTTAATTGGATTGGAAATTTTTGGGAAAAAATCTTCTTGGACCAATCGTTGGGATTTAAAAACAAATTTTCGATACTACTAGTTCGTAGAAAAAAATTTTTTGCTAAAGTCGTTTCCGTAGTGTCTCCTTGTTAAATTCTTTTATAAATCCATATAAAATTTTAGACATTGGGTCTGTTGGGCGCTGCAGTAATGGAAAGACTAGATAATCAAGGCAATTGTATTTTTCTACATCGTGGGGATTGGCCCCAATCAATTCCCTGTATTGATTCAATGAATAATCGTGTATATTTAAATATTATTTTAAATAATTTTTAAATTAAATTTATTAGAATCAAAACAATTTTCTTCCTTTGCGAATAACTACACTTTTACAACCAGATCTTCTTAAAGACGAGGAAGAAGCTGATCAACAAAAAATTCAACGACGTAAAAATTTAACTTCTCAAGAAGAAATGCAAAATAACGTTAATTTTTTAATATACTTAATATATAGACCTGTAATCAAGAGAAGTTTTATTCTAAATTTTTAAACTTTTTTTTTAATTTTGGCTGATTATGTTAATATAATAAGTTTATTTTAAATTATTCCCATTTTTCAGAAATTATTTCTTTAGACTCGGGGAAGAATTTCGTTAACCTATTTAATTAAAACTTTCAATTACATATAATTTTTTTTATTAAGTCAACAATTAATTGTGATGAGGAAGAAGATACTTCTTTACAAAATATGCTTGAAAGGAGAGTTAAACGACGGGAAAAAGAGAAACGAGCATTGGATTTGTTATCTAAAAATTCAATTAATGGAGATGAATTATTAAATGAAGGAGAATTAGATGGGATTTTACTTGCGGGAAGGTAATTTTTTGTTTAAAACTTTTTAAACACCTTGGGGAATTTAAGTTTATTTTGTCAGATTTCTAGCCTATTAAATAAGTATGACTGGTTAAGTTGGTTAAATTCTTGTCTTTGGGTACATTAAATGATGAAAACTCAATTAATGTCTTCTTTCCCCGGCAGAAGGGATTTATGTTGACAAATATAAAATTGAGTTCTGATAATGATTTTTTAATATAATTAATTTATATTTTTTAATAAAAAATATTTCTACAAAATTTATTTAAGAACATTCGACCCAGTGGATGTTCTAAAACAGGTAATTGATGGGTTGCGGCTTTCTGGCTCTGTAGTTGTTTATTCCCCCATTAAACAGGTATTTAATTTAAAATTAATTAAAAAAAATTTTCTTTAAATTTTTAGCACATTTTGAAAGTTTGGAGTTTTCTCCGTTCAACAAATTCTTTTATTGATATGCAAATACAAGAACAATTTTGCCGAACACATCAAATATTGCCTAATCAGACTCATCCACTAATGCAACAAACGGTAATTTAATTAAAAAGATACATTTAATTAAAAATTAGGTAACTGGTGGTTATATTCTTTCAGCAATAAAAATTTTATCCAATGAAAAATTAAAAAAATTAACAACAGAGGATTGAGATCACTTAAAATATTTTTTGTTATGTTTTTGTTTTAAAATATAAATTTTAACAATAAAATCGTGAATTTTGAATTAACGTTTTTGAATAAAAAACTGAAAAATTTGAATTTACATATTCGAAAAAAATTTAATTTATTATTTTTGACGTTTTTTAACTCGAAAGTTTATTTTTCAAATAAATACACAACATAGATATAACCGTATTTAGGTTTTTGAAAAAATATTATTTTAAAAATATTAACATTGTAGCCTCTAAAAACTAAATTCTAAATCTCAATTGACAAATATCACACAAATTATTGAGCAGAAGAACTGGCAGCTGAAGCAGATGACCCAGCCCTTTGTTGACCACCCGAATCAAATTTTCCACCTTCTTTTCTTGCTCGGTTTTGGGCATGTCGATGTCTCGACTCGTGTAAATATTTCTAAAAAACTATTCATAATTTTTAAAAAAAAATCCCCCACCCTTCTCTCCTTCGGAATTCTTCCCTCCATTTCTAGTTTAGCTCTAGCAGCTCTTCTCTTTAAAATTCTATTATATTGTTTCTCATTAACATAAATAGGTTCTATTTGATCTGTTGAAATTTGGCTATTTATAGATTCATTATTTATAAAATATTCATTTTGCTCAATTGAATCAAAAGAAGTCGAAGGAACATTAACAATTGTATGTTGTTGTTGATCACAAGTTGTAGGAACATTGTTATTATTTTCAATAAAATTATTATTTAAAGCAGATGGAAAAAACTTAAAAATTTTAAATTATTTACGTGTTTTGTAAAAATTATTTGAAAAATATATCTCTTTAATTTTTGACTCTTTTTCATCCAAAATGCTAATTTTCTTTTAAATAAAAAATCAATAACACCTGTCCACCAGTAATTGATGTGCCCAATGGTATGAGTGCAGTACTTCCGTCGCCAAGACTCATCACTTGAAAAGGCATCATTGCTTGCTGCCCTGATGAAAATGTAAAGTGCTGGTCATTACTATTATTTGAAGTATTTAATATTCCCTCACCACTTTGCTAAAAAATATTTTTCAAATAAAAATATTTAAATAATTAATCATAATTTAATTATTCTCATTTTATCTTTAATTAACGAGTTAATTATTCAAGTCTGTAATTTATTCGGGGCATGTGTAAATAAAAAAACAAATTATTTATTTACATTATTAGCCAATTGTATTCCTTGAGGCAATTGAAGGACATAATGTTGTTGAGGTTGTTGCAGGCTTTTTTCATTGCCTATAAAAGAGGAAGGGTCAACCCCTAGCATTTGAGCTGATTCAGCGGGAATTTGAACAAGTTGGTAATATTGCTAAAATTTGGATTTTGGAATTAAATGGAAATGTGTGGTTTTTGAAACCCTCTGTGGCTGTGGATCTTGTTCAACTATTGTCTGTTGTTTATTCGTTTTTTGAATATTTTGAACAAAAGAGGAAGGAGACGAACGAGAAGGATATTCTTCCTGTGGGGAAGGAATATTTTTTGTCATTTCCACAAAGTTTATTTGACCATTCTGACAATTTATTGGTTTTTGTGCACTCATCGGCTGAATTTATTTCAAAACTAAAAGAAGAGAGAATAATAAAAAGTAAAAAATATAAAATAAAAATATTTTTTATTACTAAATATTTCACTAATTATTTTACTAATATTTTTACTAAATCTGCCACATTTTTAATTATTGTTAGGACTTTAAACAAATGAGGAAATGCACTGTGCCAAAAAAGTGGCGCGTCGAAATAACCCCCTGAAAATGAAGGAAAAAAGAAAAATAGTATTTGAAAAAGAAACCATTGAGGGAAATAAAATATTTTTATTTGGACAATTTAAATGGTTAAATAATAAATGAAGAATAAAAATGGTTGGTTATAAGCTGCTCATTTGATGTAAAAATAAAAGAAATAACTGCCACTCAAATTGTTTTTTTTCTCTTTATATTTTCATCGCACGCACGCACATCCAATCAACGAATTCATGCAAAGGCGGCCCAAAACTACTAGCGAATGGATGGAAAACTAAAATATGTGTGTATACAAGTCAATGAAAAAGAGGAAATAAAGGAATTGAGGAAGAATGGGACAAAACACTATTGTTTCGAATTTAGTTTATAGTTAATTTATGCCAGCTGTGAAAGCCATTAGGAGAAAGATGAAAAAGCAGCAAAAGAAAAACAAGAATTTAATGGGAAAATTGAATAATTTAGAAAAAGTCGCGCCGAAATTACCCCTAAAAGTTTTCTAAAGCTTTGAGGACAAAATCGCATTTTTATGAAGGACAAAACAGTAAAATGGGAAAATCGAATGAGCATTGGGTGGAAAAAATAAAAAAAATTTTGTTTGTACGAATGAGAATATATAGATGGGCTGAATGGATGGATGGATGAAAAGGAAAAAATGTCATCGACGAATGTGTGTAATGGGAAGAAAGGCAAGCAATGGGGGAGAGACAACGACGTTAAGTAAAAAATAGGCGCTCTCTGTTGAGTAAATCCAACAGCCACCAAACAATAACAGAGGAGAAGGGAAGGCAACCACTCCACTTTACTTACTACACAGGCTATTTTATATAATTTTTACCTTTTTGCCTAAACGAAAATATATTAAAGTGAATAAAAGATGGGCGTCCTTGGGTGTGTGCTTGACTCTGTTTGCTGCATTAAAAACGTCCACACCCTTCTCCACTAATGGGCAATAGGGGCGGGACTACCAGGGACTGGCTATGAATTTGAAGAATGTTTAAGGCTTTAATGGTGCCGACAATCGATTAATTGTTTTTAGCAAGAAAACGATGTTTGGAAGTGCTTAATGAACAATCTTAATCAAAACACGAATCCTTGTAAATTTCTAAGTTCTCTTTCTGATAGATAATTTTAGTTTAAGAGGACTAATCCAAAAAATTAAAAAAATAATTATTTACTTATAAAGTCTTTACATGGAGATTTTGTTTTGGACAATCTTCAAGTCAATCGAAAGAGTTCTTCGATCTGAGTCGAATGACATCAGAATTAAATCGCGAAAAACTTGTCGAGATACATCCCTCTAAAATAGAAAAACCAGGGGGAAGGGGGAGCTGTTTTTTGTGGTGAAAAATTCAATTATACAAATAATAGCTAATTCGACTCAGCTCATCGAGATGTTTCGATTGACATATAGATTGCCCATATCTGTAATCTCGCAGTAAGGTGTACCTGTCCCTCAAAAGACTAACTTGACATCTATACCAAATCTTTCAAAAAGTTTTAATTTATTTAAATCTGATGGTATATTTCGATGTTAGTTTTATCAATATATTTTAAAAAATATTTTCCAAAAATTAAAACAATTTAGCCTCAACAAGATAATTTTTAAATTTAATTTAAAGTTTTCTTTATATCCCCAAAAATTTAATAACAAAAACACCGGCCGCGTCTGCATGGAAGTCCAAAACAAGTATCCAATTCTCCATTACATTTCTGCTTATTACAAAATTTAAGTAATGCTTCTCCATAATTTGCAAAACCATTAAGTTTATGAGCTTTAAAGATTAAAAATAAATTATTTAAAACATCAATCCCTTTAATTTGCTTACATGGAGAGGTTGCGAGGTAAAAATAAAAATCTAAAAAAATCCGATCTAAAAACGGTCGAGACCGGGTTCATTCGATAGAGAATGTGCCCTTTCTAGCAAGGATTTTGCCCGTTCGGCTCAAAATTAGATCGGACACCTCGCAACCTCTCCGTGTTAATTAACTAGTAAATAAAATAATTTCCACTTTTACCTTCAATACATTTACAAATACCAGTCTCATTTTCACAAGAATTGTAAAGTCCACCACAGGAAGTTTGATTCAAACAATGAAGTCCACTAATACAAGCAGTGCAGTCACAAGTTCCCGGAAAAATTCCCAGACAGCGGGGACGTGAATTTGTCTTTAAAAATAAATTAAAATTTATTTAATCTTTTTTAGAAGTATTAAAGGATAAAAAATAATTATAATTTTTGCATTCTCCAGAAATTTAGAAAAATTAATTAACCAGATTTGGCAGTATAATTGTAAGAAAAGACATTACATTACCCATCCCCCTTAAAAATCCCCTCGTTAATTATCCTTTCCCCATTTAATATTTTCCATCTAACGGGTAAAAAAGTTAAAAATTAAAATAATAAAACAAAATTTTCAAATAACCTTTTCATTCTTTTCACCACAATCTTTATCTTTGTAGCAAATAGAACGAGGAACACAATTTTTAATTTTTGGAGTAGTAAATGCATTGTCTTCCTCAGAATTAGTGTCATTTCCAGGAACACTCTCATTTGTTGTATTTTCTGTTCCTGAATCACTTTTCTTATTGTCAAAAGCATTGTCTTCTTCAGAAAAGTCTGTCGTGTTTTCTTCCGTATTTGTCTCATTTACTTCATTTTTGTTTTGAATGTTTTTCAAAATTAAATGTTCTTTAGAAATATTTTCTTTTGTATCAAAATCGAGGAAAGTTAAAGTATCCAACAAGTCAAAATTGTTGATAAAGTCAGTCTCGTTTAAATCTGAAATTAAAAAATAAAAACAAAAAAAAATATTCAAAACCTCCTTCAGTTGTAAAAACAACATAATCATTTGTTGTATTTAAAATTGCTTTAGACGTGGAAATAAATAAAATAATAAACACAATAGAAGGCATTGAATTAAATAGGTATTTTAATTTGTTAGGTATTTTAAACTAAAAAATAAATTAAAAATAAGGCTTCTTCTAAATCCCGCAAAATTTTTTAAAAGAAAATTTAAATATTTTTGGATTAAAAACTTTTAGCTAAAACTTTAGATTAAAACCCTCTAGTTTTTTAAAAGAAAAATACAGATTTTAAGTAATACATATCGTCACGGTTAAAAGGGTTAAAACGCCTATCTAAAAAACTGAACGGCCATTTTAGTCGGTAGCCTAATTCTTTGCACTTATACGAATATAGCAGGCGATGTTTAGACTCATTATGCTCGTATTGTCTATTTGGCAGATCGATCTTTTAATGAATAGACGTTTTGATCCATTTTGGCCTGTCGATCTTTTAAGAATTTCTGGCTAAGTAATGTTTTGACCCATTTTGTCTAAAACCAAGTTAATCAATTTTTTAGAATTTGTTTTTTTATTTTAATCTTTTTCAAGGATATAATTATAATTTCATTTCACTCAAATCTTAATGGGTTCAGGATCTTTTGTTGGTATAAAATTCTGTCCAGAATGGTATTTTTTGATTTTCTTAATAATTTAATTTTAAAATATTTTTAGTAACAATATGCTCTATCCTCGTGAAAATAAAGAATTTCGTCGATTAATGTATGTTTGTCGAAATTGTGAACATAGTCAAATTGCTGACAATCCTTGTATTTATGTTAACAGACTTACACATGAAGTCGAGTTTGTGTAGATTTTTTTTTCTGAAATTTCAAATTTCCTTAGCGAGCTTACCCAAATTGTTGCTGATGTTGTTCACGATCCAACTTTGCCCAGAACTGAAGAACACGAATGTCCGAAATGTGCTAAAAGGGAAGCTGTATTTTTTCAGGCGCAGTCTAGACGGGCGGAAGTAAAATATTTTTATTTCCTTTTATTCAATTAATTTTTTTATAATTAGGAGGAAATGCGTCTTTATTTTGTTTGTGCTGGATGTCACCATCGATGGACAGATTAAATTTGTTTTTGATATTTGATTTTGTGGACATTATCTCTTATTTATTTTTTATGGATTATTTTTAAAAAGTTTTATTTTTTTCAATTTGTTTACTTCATTTTTACCTTTTTATATTTTAAATAATTAATTCAAAATTTTCATTTTATATGTTAAAGACGCGTGCTTTGGACGCATTTTTAGGCGAGGTAGTTGGTGGAGGTGTGGCAGGCATTGTACTCTTCAATAAAGATGGTAATTTGTTAAAATTTTATTTAGAAGTTTGGGGTTGTAATTTTTAGTTTTTAATTTATTCCGATCTTGGGAACGGGTTGGCTAGGGTTTTCTGTGTGGTTATATTGACGAATAGTTTTTAAATACTTCAAATTTTAGGATTAACTGTCTCACGTGCACTTGACAATTCTCGGGGTGGAGGCAATGTCTATTCTGCATTATTGGCGAATATATGGGAAACATTTGAACGTCATGGTTATTTTTTTTATATTTCTAAAATAATTAATTTTTAGGAGTTCGGGATGAACTAAAAGAAGTTGTTATTGGTTGTGAAAATGGAACAGTTGTTTTAACCAGAGTAGCCTCAATGCTTTTGGCAGTTTTGGGGACTGAAGATGCTCCACTTGGTGTACTTTTGGTTAAATTACATGCTTTGGTTGATCAGCTAAAGATTCCGCTTAGTGCCATTTCAACATAATTTTGTGACTTTTGTTAAATGTTTTTGAACAATTTTCTGGTTTCATTTTTTAAACTAAACTATTTTTGTTTTTGAAAATTATTTTTTGTAAAGAGAAATTAAAAAATTATTTATCTCCAACTGTTCTGAAAAATTTTCCGCAGAAAATCAAAATTTTTCATTTGTGAATAAATCTATTTTTGAATTTTTAATATTTTAATCTTTTTTTGTTATTTACTTTTAATATTTTTCAATTAAAAAAGTTGTTTAATATTCTTATTTCTCATCTAATAACAGTAAATAAATGGTCTCAATATCTCCGGAGTTAATTGAAGATCAGGTTTGTTTCATCTTATTAATGTGGGTTTACTTAACTTTTAAGTGAAAATTCTGTAATAACTTTGAAAACTATTTTGGTATTTGGATTAATCTTGGTGAATGAATACACACACATTCATTTTGTCTTTAAGTTATAGACGTTCAATCATTTTTCAAAGATTTAATAATTATTGAAAGAAGTTATTTTTAGGTAAATGAAATTTTGGCAAAATACAAAAATGAAATTCTGAGGCTACGCTACAATTTTGAATTTGAGCCAATTTTTGGTAACTAATTAAACCTATCTAAATTATTTTTACATATTTTAGACGAACTTTGTAAGCTTTTACCAAATGCTAAACCGGAAGATATTCGCAAGGAACTTGATATGCGTATTCTCCTCCTTCTTGGACTTAATCAAGTTGTGACCAGATTTCCTCCTGAGCCTAATGGGATTCTTCACATTGGGCATGCAAAAGCCATAAATATTGATTTTGGAACTGCAAAGGTTTGTTTTTTACTTTTCATTTCCTTGAAAATAATATTTTTTATTATTTTCAGGCTAAAGGTGGAATTACTTATTTACGTCTTGACGATACAAATCCTGAAGCTGAAGATGTTTGTTGTTTTTGATTTAATTATGATGAAGGATTTTTTAATTTAAGATTTGGTCCTTTATCTTCTCTTTTCACTTTATTACATATTAAAATATTTGCCTTAAATTTTAATTTTTAGGAGCGTTATGTAAATGAAATAATTGAAATGGTTAAATGGCTTGGCTTTACTCCTTATAAAATTACACATTCTTCTGACTATTTTGATCAATTATATGAATGGGCATATGTTTTAATTAATAAAGGTTTGGCGTATGTTTGCCATCAAGGAATTGAAGAAATGAGAGGCTTTGATCCTCCCCCATCACCTTGGCGTGACAGACCAATCGAAGAGTCTATTAAACTTTTTGAAGCAATGAAGAATGGAGCTTTTAATGAAGGAGAGGCAACTCTTAGATTAAAATTGACAATGGAAGATAGCAAACAAGATCCGGTTTATTTTTTGGATTTAATATAAAAAATTTTAAATAGAAAAATTAAACAAGAGGCAGATTTATAGAGTATTTGAAAATTAGAAAATGAGGATATTAAGTAGGAAATATTATCTGATGGAGGTTGTACTCTTAAGTTTTTTAGTAATCTATGATAATAATAAATTTAAAAAGAAAATGTTTTATATTTTCGTAAATTAGTATGTATAAGATTTTTTCAATATTAAATTCCTTTAATTAATAGTAGGAGAGAATAAGGACTTTACCTATTCTTAATTTTCAAAATATTTTTTATAATTATATTTAAAAAATTTAGGTTGCCTTTCGTATAAAATTTTTGCCTCATCATCGAACTAAAGACAAATGGTATTTTTGCGAATAAAATATTTTTATTTTATTTTCTTGACAGGTGTATTTACCCAACATATGATTATACTCATTGTTTATGTGATAGTATAGAGAAAGTAACTCATTCTCTTTGTACAAAAGAATTTCAAACAAGGTTAGATTGAAAAGAAAGCCTTGGAATTTTTTTAAACATTTAAATTTTTATTTTTTAGAAGGAGTTCCTATTATTGGCTCTGTAATTCTTTAGATGTTTATTGCCCAACTCAATGGGAATTTTCTCGTTTAAATCTTTCTTATACAGTTGTGTCTAAAAGAAAATTACTTAAATTGATTCAAAGTGGAGTTGTTAGGTTAATTAATCTTTAAATATTTATTTTTAATAATTCTTATTCGTTTATGAATTAAGTTAGAAAAATATTAGATTATTAAAACTTCTATAAACTTAAAATTAAAAAAAGGTTTTTAGTGATTGGGATGATCCTCGTCTCTTTACTCTTACCGCCCTTCGACGTCGTGGCATCCCTCCAGAAGTTATCAACAAATTTGTTGAAAGTTTGGGTGTTACTGTTGCTCAAACTTTAATTGATCCAGTTATGTTAGATGCTTTTTGTCGTGATTATTTAAATATAACGGCTCCAAGGACAATGGCTGTATTAGAACCTTTAAAAATAAAAATTAAAAATTATGCTGAACTTGGATTTCTTCCCGGACATTCGTTGAAGGTTAAATATTTTCCTGCTGATCCAAACTGTACTGACGAATGGGAAATTGCTTTTGACGAACAAATATTTATTGAGAGAGTGGATTTTAGAGAGGTAGGAATTTTTTAAAAATTTTGTAAATTAATTATCTCATTCCTTTTAAGGAGGCAGAAAAAAGCTATCGGCGCCTTACCATTGGCCAATCAGTTGGTTTGCGTCATATTAATTTAATTATTCGAGTCGATAGTATTGAAAAAGATGCAACAAATGGGGAAATTAAACAAATTATTGTTAATGCTGAAATGGCAGCTAATGCTTCTAATAAACCAAAGGCATTTATTCATTGGGTGGCTAGACCTGTTAAATGTCAGGTTAGACTTTACGAGAAATTGTGAGTTTTTTTAGGAATTAAATTTAATTTTTTTTTAAATAAATTTAGATTTTTACACAAAAATCCAGAAGATCCTGTTCAAGTTCCTGGTGGATTCCTAACAGATATAAATACAAATTCTTTAACTATTTTGACAGAATCATTAGTTGATGCTAGTATTGCAAATAAAGCTAAACCTTATGATAGATTTCAATTTGAAAGGAATGGTTTCTTTTGTGTTGATGCAAATGATTTGGCCAATGGAAAGGTAAATATAAAAAAATTGTTAGGGATTTCTAGAAATTGATTCGAAGATAATTTTCAAAAATAATTTTAACTTATAGTTAGGTTAATCTCCTGTGAAAAATTATTTTTAATTTCAGCTTGTTTTCAATAGAACAGTTTCTTTACGTGAGGATGTTGGAAAGAATGCATGAGAGACTCTCTAAATAAAAATATTATTCTAGTAAAAAGGAATGAATGTCCCAGTTGTTAATTAAAGTATTTATAATTTTATTTGTTAAATGTTAACTTTTTGTTTTTAATAAAAATATTTTAGCAATTTTATTTCATTTTAATGTTTTTTATACATAATTTATTTCTAATTTTTTATTGAATGTTTAAATGATTTTGATTGGAAAATTAACTGAATTTTCTTAAAACTAAAATTTTGTAGATTGGGTCTACCAAAATTTAATGTAGACTTCCGATTTTTGTCCACTAAAATTTTTATATAATTAAACTAATATTTTTTAAGAATATACTAGTAATGAGTAATGACAACGTTGAAACTTTTAATTCAAGTTCAATAAATGAGTCTATGGAAGCTAAGCGTGCAAATTGTCGAAAACGTTTACGGACTTTAGAAGTAAAAGATTAAATAAAAATTTAATTGTTTTTTTAATTTTAGAATGAAAATGAAAAGAGTGAGCTTGCCAAAAAGGTACTCAAATCCCAATTAGAGTTGGTAAGTTTTTTTTGATAATTTTTTGAAAAGAAATTAATTTTTAGGAATACTCACTAATTGAAAATTTAAAAGAAGTTGACAAAAATTCCAAATTATCTGAACAAATGGAGAAATTAAAAAATTGTGAAAAGACGAAAATTAAAGAAGAATCTGAATTAAATAAAATTAAAGAAGATTATAAAAAATTAAATAATAATTTGGAAAATATCAAAAAGGTAATTGCTCAAATGAAAAGTGAAAAGTTAAATTTGGAAAATGACTTTAATGAAGAAATTGAAGTGAGTGGTTTGAAATCTGATAAATTGGTTAAATTTAAATTTTAGACAGTTCAAAGAAAGGCAACTGATCAACTTAAAAAGGCACTAATTTATAATTTTTAAACAAAATTTTATTTTTAGGTCAATCAATTAATGTCAAAACATTTAAAGGAATACAATTCTGATAAATTAAAATTATATGGAGAAATAACTAAAAAAGCAATAGAATTGTCTAAAATTCAAAATAAATATAAAGGATTGAATAAAGAAATAATTATTTGTAGAAATATAATATTTAATTTGAAGAAGGAGAAATCAGAAATTATAAACAAATGTAATGAAGAAATTAAAGTAAATTAATTAATTTATTTTTATTTTCGAAAAAAAATATTTTTTTAGAAATTTTTAAATGAGAAAAGTCAAATTGATAAATTAAAAGAAGAGAATGAAAGAATTTCTAATTTATATGATAAACAAACGAAAGAGCTTATTAATGTTAGTGTTGAGAAAGAAATTTTGGCTTCGCAAAATTCAAAATTAAAATTAGATATTTTGCAAGCACAGAAAACTATGTGGGTATTATACAAGAATATACACTCCTCCACAAAAGTATAAGGGCACCTGTATTTTCGCAATTTTTTTACTTCCAATGATCCAAATTTTCTGAAAATTTAGATACACACCTTTTAGTTAATAACTAACAAGATGTCAATAGATTTTTGGCTGATTTTTTATTTAAAAAATTTTTAGACCAAAATTTGCATTTTCGGCCTCCACAAAAGTATAGGGGCACCTTAGAAAAAGATATTTCCAAGATTAGAAAAAATCTACAAAAATTATAGGGAACATACACAATGATATTATGAAAAAATAAAAAAAGAACTAGACCCATATCTTTACCCGGAGCCGAGATCATGAGACCTCAAAAATCAACGTAAATCAGGGGTAAGGCTCATTAAAAAAATTTTTCGACCCCTTTTGGATTGTTTTGAATTTTGATTTTAGGCTCATTTGATAGCCCATGAAATTTGCTACAAGATAGCAATATTCTTATTTTTCAGAAAAATTCCATAGAGAGAAACAGAACGATAATCTTACTAATCGTCATTAGAGGGCATTTTATGGGGCATTTAGACGTTTTTTGTTGAATCAGAAGATTATCGTCTTGTGTCTCTCTATGGAATTTTTCTGAAAAATAAGAATATTGCTATCTTGTAGCAAATTTCAAGGGCTTTCAAATGAGCCCAAAATCAAAATTTAGAGTAATCTATAAGGGGTTGAAAATATTTTTTAAAGTTGAAAAACCCTGTTTTACGTTGATTTTCGTGGTCCCATGATCTCGGCTACGGGTAAAGATATGGGTCTAGTTCTTTTTTATTTTTTCATAATATCATTGTGTATGTTCCCTATGATTTTTGTAGATTTTTTCTAATCTTGGAAATATCTTTTTCCAAGGTGCCCCTATACTTTTGTGGAGGCCGAAAATGCAAATTTTGGTCTAAAAATTTTTTAGATAAAAAATCAGCAAAAATCTATTGACATCTTGTTAGTTATTCACTAAAAGGTGTGTATCTAAATTTTCAGAAAATTTGGATCATTGGAAGTAAAAAAATTGCGAAAATACAGGTGCACTTATACTTTTGTGGAGGAGTGTATTTAACATTTACCTTTATTTTACACATTTTTAGAGGGATATTTGATTTTTTCTGATCCTTAAAATTCTTTAAAAAATCGAAAGGAAAATTTAGGAGTAATTTAGCCATTTATTCTTTCTAAAATTTATATAAAAATATTTTTTTTAAGTTTAAGCATGCAAGCTTCTCGTGCATTTACATATCAACGAAATTAAGGAGAATCATATTTATATTTTATTTATTACTTAAAAAACTTGATGACCAGAATTTATTTATTAAATTGATGAAATTTAAAGACGCTTTAATTTTTTTTTCAAATTTTTTTAAAAATATTTTTTGACATTTTTTTATTCTTTCAATTTTTATTAAAAGAAATTCAAAATAAATATTGACAATTTTTTATTTACATAACGAAGGTTTATGGGATTTGATAATATTTTCTTTGGGTAAAAATACTTCAAAAATACAAATTATATGTTCACTTTTAATTAAAATTTTTAGAAATCGGACCAAAATGAGATTTCATTTGTCAGTTATCTGCATTTTTTGATTTTAATTAATTTTTAAATTTAGTTTCTAATTTAAATTAAAATTTCCGTAAAAAGTGAACAATTTTTTAATTAAAATTTGTTAAAGTTAAGGTATTTCTGACATTAAATTTGCTGTTTTTGGTAATTCTTTGGGGGAGTTTTTGTTGTTTTTATTATTTTCTTTAGTCCCTTTGAGATATAAATTGCGCTACAAAATAATTTTTAAAAAACTTTTAAAATATATTTTAACCTCAAAAGAAGGACTTAATGAATATCTTCTCTCTCTTCTTTTTTCTTTTCTCCTTTGTTTATTTTCTTTTTTATTTTTTTCTTTAATAAATAAATTAAAATAATTATCATCTTCTTCCTCTTCTTTTTCTTCTTTTATTTTTTCAATTTCTTCAATTTTTCTATCCAATAAACGTGAAAACATTGAATATAATAATTCTATATTTTCTTCTAATATTAAATTATTTTTATTATTATTTCCTCCTCCTCCTTCTTCTTTTACATTACTATTAACTGTCCAACAATTTCCATAACTTATTGTTGAACATTCTGAAGAGGGACTTGGAGCTGGGACTATTCTCCTCAAATTTTTATTATTTTTATAATTGTTACTACTTGCACGGACGAGGCGATTGGCCTTAAAAAATAATTAAATGTGTTGTTTTTTAATTTAAGAAAAAACAAATTTTTAGTAAAAATAAAAAGAGAATTTCTCTAAAATTACTCGTTAAATACATAATTGGTAATTAATTTATAGAAAAATTCCAAAAAAAACAATTTTCACCTCATTTAATGTTATTTTTCTATAAGCCCTAACAACATAAGAAGTATCAAAATTCACTGGGTGTTTTTTGCCGCTTGTCAAAATTGGTTTTAATGTTTTTGCATTAAAACGTTCAAATCTTAAAATTTAATTAATAATTTAATTTTCTAGAGAAAAAACCCCTCCTTACTTATCTCTAACAGAATTTTTTCCTTTAAATCCAATAATATCTTCTAAACCAGACATCATATAATCACAATACTTAAATAAATAAATATTTTTATTTATTTTCTTCTTCTTCTTTACCTTAATATAAACTTTTTCGGTCATTGTATCTTTTTTCTCGATATCCTTTTTTTCAACTTTTAAAAAATAAAGTAATGGGCGAATTGTAATACCCTAAAAATTACAAAAAAAATATTTTTTATTTTATTTTTTAATTCTCTCGACCTGTACAAAAACAGTAAAGAAAATAACAGCAATACAAGTAGTTACAAACATTTGTTTTGCGGGGATTTTATCATCCAAAGAGACAACAAGTCCAAAAGCTATTGCCCCTCGAAGACCTCCATATGAGAGAACAAATTGGTCAGAAAAAGAGAATTTTCTATTCCGACATTTATTTAAAAATAAACATTGAACAACAACCCCTATACAAAAATATATTTTTTTTAAATTTTTTTAAATTTACAAAAATATTTACCAAAAATTCTAAAAAGTAAACAAAACCCAATTGTAATTCCAATAAATGCCCAATCAAAATGGTGATTATGTGAAGCTGTTGATAATCCAAGAAACATAAAAATAACCTTTTAAAACTTTTAATTAATTTCCTCTCCTGTTTTCCCTCCATTCCCTTCTCCCCTCCCTCCCTTCTTCCATCCCTTCCCCTTGGGTACACCTCAAATGAGTTTTCCCTATAACCTATGAAGTCACTTTTTTGGGGGATGGTTACCTCCCTTCCTCTCTTCCTCTCCCTTCCCTCCCTCCCTCATTCCCCCTTCCCCTTCTCCCTCACCGTTTCACTACATTGTGCAAGCATTTTAACAAAATATTTAACAGAAGAAGAAGCATCTATTGAAAGATTTTCTTTCACATATTGCTTCATTCCAATTCCACAAGCAACTATTGCCAAAATAGATGAGAGACCAAACAATTCGGCACTTAAATATGCCAAATAAGGGACAACAAAAACAAAAACTGGGGCTAAAAGTCGAATACGTGTTGCAAACTTTGTTGCTAAAGAAGCCACAATTGCAAATAAAAGGCCAATAAATAAACCCCCAAATGAAATTATAAGAAAAGAAGCACATCCAGCAATAAAATGCCAAAAAGAGAGATTGTCAATACCAATTAATAAAAATTTACGAAACATTTGATAAAGAACCTTTTTTTAATTTAATTTATAATTAATTCCCCTATCTCTTTACTTACAACACTAACACCATCATTAAATAATGCTTCCCCAAAAACATTAATAAACAAAAAAGAATTTATATTTATTTGTTCAAAAACAGCAATAACGGCAACTGGATCGACAGCACTAATTAAAGAAGCAAAAAGCAAAATTTGAAAAGAAGAAAATCCAACAGAGAAAATTCCAAATTTTGAAATCCAAAAAAGAGATGAACCTTCAAAAAATAATTTAAATATTTATTCACTTAAACTAACCAATAGTTAATGTATTCCATATTGTTCCACAAAAAGCAAATAACATAACAGAATCTGTAAAAAATATTTTTCGAATTTTCCAAAAAAATTAATTATTTAAAATACCTATATTATCAAAAAGTTCCCGATTTGGCATAAAATAACCTTTTCAAAAAATTAATCTTTTATTAAAATTTATTCCAATTATATTTTTACCAGCTTCAAAAATAATTGGAGGTAATAAATAAAGAAAAAAAGTATCTGAAGGTAAAAAAAATAATTTTTCATCGACTTGTGCAAAACGTAAAACAGATCCCAATAATAAACCGAGAACTATTAATAATGCTGAATCGGGAATTGCTTCGGCCATTTGTTTATTTAAATTGAAAACTGGAATTTTATAAATTAAAAATAAAATTTTTATTTTGAGATAACTCTCTCCCTCTCTCAATTTATGATTTCAATAATTTAATCGAAAAATACTGACCGAACTTTCTGGTTAAGCTCTAAAATATACATATATCTATTATGTATACATAGTTCCCGCCAACAATAATCTCTGTATGATTTGAAGGATGGTAGGGGGTTGGGAAATATAAAATTTTATTTTTTTAAACAAATATTTGTCTGAGAATTGTTGGATATATTAGACACATATTATTTCGACCCCTTTTGGAACGTGGAATTACAAAAATAAAAAAATTACAAAAAATTTCTATCGAAGTAATCCAAATTAAAATCCAAAAATAACAAAAACTAACGTATTTTAGCAATACTAGCCAACAAAACCCAAAGAGAAAGACCAAAAGGAACACTAACATGTGTCCAATTTAAATTAATTAATTCAAAATTAATTTCTTTAAATTCATTTAATAAAGAATTATTTGTTTCTTCAACTAAATTATTTTCTAATATTTTAATTGTTAAATTATCCTCTAATGATTGACAATTAATAAAATGTGTTGTTAATATTAAATTAAAAATAAATAAAAAATGTATTTTTGGCATTTTTTAAAATTAAAGTATTGTTAATTATAGCCGATCCAGAATGAATAATTTATATTAATTAGTTACTTCAATTTTACCTCAAATTATTCGAAATAATTAAAAATGAATTCAATAAAAAATAAATTTAAAAAACATTTATTTTGTCAATTAATTACCCCCTCCTTATAAAAGATTAAAACAATAATTCCCAAAAAGTAGATAATCGAGTATATCTCTTAAAAAATCCAAAAAGTGTAAATTAACTAGTAAATAAATATATATTTTTTGTTGGCATTTTTTTAAGCTAACATTAATTCAAGCAATTCAAGTAAATAACAAAATAATTATTTATTTATTGTTTTTTTTTATAAAAAAATTTTTTTTAAATTTAGTACGGAAAAATAAAGGATTTCCTCTTTTTTTGGATGAATGCGCGAAAAAGGAGTAAAAAATGGAGAGAGAGAAAAGGCGTTGAAAATTAAGTGAAACCGCCGCCGATTGAAAATAAATATTTTTTAATAATTATTTTTAATTATTATAATCGATTAAAAAAGCTTTACAAAAAAGGAAAAGCTTTAAAGAATTTTGGTAGTTTTAAATAAAAATTCCTGTGGAAAAACACAATTTTATATTTAATTTTTAAATCAAGCTTTTTTTATTTAAACAAGTTTTTATTTAATGACCACATTTATTTAGTAACAACTGTGGCTAATCATGCATGAATTTGAAAAATTTTTTTGACCAGTGAAAGTAAAATGAAAAAAAGAATGAGGGGATGGTTTTTGATTTATATTAGAGGAAAAAAATTAAATTTGATTTTTTATTGGAGGATTTTCTTTTAATTAAACAATTAAGGGAATAATAAAAATATTAGGAAAATTAATTAATTAAAATTAAATTAGGGTAGATTAAATTAATGAAAATTTAGAATCATATAAAAAATATGGAAGAAGAAATTCTTGGAAGAAATCTCCAAAATCTCTTTTTAATTATAAAATTTTGATTATTTTTTAACAAAAATAGAGCGGAAATGTGTCCGATAAAAGAGGAGGAGAGAATCTTTCCCCCTTTAATTTTTATCTCCAACACAACAACTAGCTTTGCACTTATTTTTTTCTCCAAATCTCTTCTTTCTTTCTTTTGTCCATCAAAATAAAACATTTTTTGTTTTTATTTTCTGCGCAAAAATGAATCATTTAAAATAAAAAAAGAAGAAGGAATTGACCAGTAGAAAATAAAAGGAGAAAAGGCTTTTTTTGAAGAAGACAAAATTGATATAAAATGGAGAAAAAGAATATCTCCTTAAATTACCTAAATAATTAAAAGTTGGTAAGGTGTTTAACAAAAGATAAGAGGATAAAAAAATATATGAAAAATTCATAGATGAATAAAAAATCAAAAATAAAATAAACTCAAATAAATAACACATCTACATATAAGAGTAAAAATCACTCTGTTCCAGAAAACAATCCTCCCTAAAAATATTTCGAAAAAATAAAGACGATATTTTGGGTTAATTAAATTATTCTTTAAATCCTTTAATAAATAAATTTTTTTACAATTGGTCAGCAGAAGAGATATACCGGTTTTTTAAAGAAGAAAAATGAGGAAGAAGATTTTTTCTTTGAAGAGCTTCAACAAATATGTATTTAAACAAAAAAAAAGAGAACAAACAAATAAATTAATAAACATAAAAAACTTACCTATTTGTACTTAATTTTCAACAAGTTTTAGGTTTTTAAAGTTTTTTTTCTCTTAAAATTTTGGAAGGAAAAAACTTTAAACTAAAACAAACAAAAAATTATTTGTAATTGAACTGAAAAACTTGAAGAGAAAATACAAGAAAAAATAAAGATGATAAATATTTTTCTAAATTTTTTTAATTTTTAAAAGCCAAAAAATTCTTTGTTCAAAACTCTTTTCAAAAAATAAATGTCAAAAGCCCCAAAATTTCGATTATATTTTTATTAAAACTAATACAATTGCACTTTTCTTAAATAAAATTTGTGCAAAACAAAAAGTGAAAGAAAGCTTGAATCACAGAAAAGAAAAGGAGGAGATTGAAAAATAAAAGAAAACTTTGAATCACATAAAAACAAAAGTTTTTAAATAAATTATAAATATATTTTTTTTATTAAAATGATATTCAGGCTTTTTCGTTAAAGGTCAGCCGTCATTGTGGACATTTTTAAAATAATACAAAAATTGAAGATTGTAAATGACAAGATATTAATTATACTCCACTTAACTTTTAAAGATGCACGTCTGGGACAATTTGAGAGGCAGTGGAGAACTTCCAGAACTCCAATTATTTAAAAACAGTGATTCCGTTATAAAATTTAAAAATAAATAGTACGAAAGGATAATTATTTTAAATTAAATTTTTTTATTATTTTTTGTAGTGAAATCCTTTCTGTTAATCTCTTTATTAAAATTTCTTTTATTCACTCACATATACAACGAAAAAAAACGCATCTAGAATTTTAAATAACTTTAACGAAAATATCAGTAAAGCAGCTGGGCTATAGCTATTTCTCTCCTTTAGCTAGTGCAAAAGGTTAATCGGCGGCTGGGAGCGAACCAGCATCTTCAGTAGACCGGAATGTTATTTTATCCTTACACCACGACGCCTACTGTATAGCCTTAGGAATTAAATAGCTATATGCTTTAAATATCAGACAAGGATACGATGTAGTACATATATATGGAGCTAATAAATATATTCTTCAGAAAGAGTATTTCTCCTAGGTTCCGTGACTTTTGCGCCGGAAAAATTTGCGACGCGAATTCTGCGCCGGGTGATTCTAAAAATTGAAAATATTTAAGAGTAATTGCTTTTTGACAAACCTTTCTCGAATGTTTAAATTTATGTTAGTAATTTTAATTTATAATTTTTATTTTTTTAGATAAGAAAAGAAATTAAAATAAGTCCGGTAATATTAAACCGGACAGACCACCCTTTTTTCCTCCCAATTTTTCCCTTAAATTTTTGCAAAATTGCAAATCTAATTTTTGCCTACAATCAAACAAAAAGGATTATTTAATTTTATACAAGTAAAAATACATGCCAAAAACAAGTAAAAGGAGGATATTTTTTGGTATTTAACAAGCAATCTTCTTAATCTCCTGATATCCCTCAAAATAAAAAAACAAAGCCTGGATCCAGGCAAAAATAATCCTTGATTTTTCCTTTACTCAAAGTCAAGAATCTGGTCAAGGTACCCAACCGAAATCAAGGATCAAGGCCAAGATTTTTTGAAAATCCCGCTCTCTACTAATTATCACAAAGACAAATAAAACAAAAAATAAATAATTTAGAGATATTAAAGTTAACAATTTTATGGAAAAAAATAAAAAAAAATAAAAGTCTATACAGCTGTTTTTAAAGTCTCTTTTAAATAATTTTCTTCAAAAATCTTTTTATAAATTAACATCGATTCATCAGATATTGGTTCCAATTCTACAGAGATAGAATTATTTTTAGAAAAATTTGAAGGTTTAAATTCAAAGGCAGGACCAAGTCGATAAAAATCTTTTCGAAATGGGGAAGTTTGTGGTTGGGAAAATTTAATATTTGTTGGGGAAGAATGAGTAGAGGAAGAGTGTTTTTGAGAAGATTTACGTTGTTGTTGTTGTTTTGTTGGGGCAGAACGTGTTAAAGAATTGCCGAAAGGAGAAAATTTTAATTGTTGAGAAGGTGGAGTTGATGTTGAAGAAGGCTAAAAAAGAATAAAAATTAAATTAAAGAAAGAATTCTTCACTACTTTTTGTAAGTGTTTCAAAGGATTTGGTAATTTCCAAGCTGTTGGCTGTCTTTGCCTCCTCAAATTGTGTCTTTCAAAAACACTCGAAGCTGCCATAGAGTATTTACTGTATAAAGCCATATCCACATCCGAAATACCCAAAATTCCTTTATAACCTCCAAAATAAACTTCTCGAGGAGATTTAAGTCCAGTATTAATTCCAAAAGGCTGTTTTTGTTGAATTTTTGGAGTTTGGGTAATTTGGTGATTTAATAAAGCTTAAATTAATTTAATAATTAAATTCCAAACTGTTTATAAAAATTACAAAAAACTATAGCAAAATAAATAATTTAAGTTAAACCTTAACTTAAAAGGGTAATATTTTGTTCTGAATTTAAGGGTGGATTTTAGAAATTTTTTTTAAATAAAGACAACTGAAAATACCCACAAACAATTTAAGATAAAATATTTGAATTTCATTAATCCAAAAATACAAATAAATTAAAAATAATTATGTACCTCTAAATTTATTTAAAGGATCATTTGCCAATTCCTCTGGAGCATTTTTGTCTTCTAAAATAATTACATCACTCTCAAAAGTTCTTTCTTCAGCTTCAACAGCAGAAAATATAGCTAGTCCCTCTTCTTTTGAATTTCCAATAATATTTTGTTTATTTTCATTTTGTTTATCTAAAGTCATTAACAAAAGTGTTCCCCCTCCCCCTTCAATTCCTCCAGAATTGTCTTCACCTCCCTCTGATTGATCTTCAACTTTTTGTTCATCTGCTTCTTCAGCTATTTCATTTTCATCAAAAAGCAATAAAGGTTTTTTCCCTTCCTCATCAACAAAACTTTTTTTAATTTTTATTTTCTCTTTTATTTCTTCTTTTCGTAAAATTGAAGCTGTGCCAGCAGCAAAAGAAGAATAAGAGGTTGTTGTTGTTTGACGATTATTAATAATAAATTTACTGGAAGTAAATGATAGAGCAGGTGGAGGTGAAGGAGAATGTTCACTCTTTAGTTAAAAAAAAATTTTTTTGAAAAATTAAAAAGAAAATGTTAATAAATCTCATTAAATTTTTTTAGTTAAAAAATTATTTTCCAATAATTGCAATATACTTATAATATCTTACATTTTTGCCAGACATTTTATATTTTTAGAATTTATATCCAATTAAAAATTATTACATTTCCATTTAATATTTTTTGTAAAATAAAATAAATTCATTCTTATTTTATTTTTTTTCAAATTTAAAATTCTAAATTTAGAAAAATTCTCAAAGAAAAAATTAATTTCTAAAACCTTTAATCTTTTCCTCAAAAAATTATTTCTAGCCCATTAAATGCTTTTTTACCTTAAACATCCACATAAAAGATCCCCCTCCCTGCTGACTTCGCCTCAGCGAATCCAAAACTAAAGGTCGGCGCTGCTGCATTTGTTGCTGTAAACGTAACAGTTGCTCCAAACTTGTAAATTCAAAAGTTTTATGTGTTATAGAAAATAAATAATCATCAAAATTTGTAAAATTCTCTTCATTTTTTATTTCCAGATTATTTAATGAAATATTAACTGTAATAAAATAAATAAATAAATTTTTTAATTAAACATTCAAAATATTAAAAAGGTAAAGAAAATGGTAGAAAATAAAAAAATCCAATTTCATTATTAGCAGAGGGTAAGATAACTTTCCTTTTTCTAAAACTTTTTAAAAAATATTCGATGACTTTTTTAAATCTCGTGAGTTTTAATTACTCCCTCCGGATTAAAAAATATAAAAATTACCCAAATCATTTGAAGTCTTTAGAATTACCCAATCTCTAAATTCAGAATCAGCCACCCAATCCTCATCTTCATTATCTGAACTGACAGAAATAGACCAAAGTAAAAATTCGTTCGATTTAGGCAAGGCAATAGGAAAATGTAAATAGTGGTCAGAACCAAGAGTCCAAATTGGAGGTTGATCTGCCTGAACACTGAAATTAATTTTAATTTTAAGTGTTTTTTTAGGTTTCGGTAATCAAATAGTTTTAGATTTGGTTTTAAATCCATTTTTATTTAGATTTTCATATATATTCCCTTAATCTCATTAGGCACACCTTTTTTTATAAAAACATTATTTTATGCCAAAACAAACCCCTTCATAAAAAAGCTTTATAGTATTAAACGTGCCGCGGTAAATTAATACATAAATTCACTTTTAAATTGGCACGCTTTGCACGAAAAATAAGACAAACAAAAAGCATAAAAATATTTTTTTATATTTAGTAATGTAACAAAATAAAAGTCCAAAACAATGAAAGCCCTAAAATATTTTCCAAATAAAATATATCATGCAATAAAAATAAATACAAAATATTTTAAGTAATGCCCCATTGTTAGTGATAAAATTTACTTGTATTTTTCCTCACAAAATTTTTATTTTGTCTAATTTTCTCAAAAAAATTGAAAGGAGAATATAAGTTTCTTAAAAACACAGTTAAAAAAATTAATTTTAAATTTATTCCAAATTAATATGTATAGTAAAACTACAGCCTAAAATATTAATTTATATAAAACAAAAAAGGAAAACCGAAAATACTACATTTATGATGGATTAAAGACTAGTTCCTATTGTCAATTTTAATAAAAACTGACGTAATTTAATCCTTTTAAATATTAACTTTCAGCAATTTCATTTTTTAATATTCTTCCAATTTCTAACATTTTTATCAACTTTTGTTCATTATAAAAATCCAAAAATTAAAACTCAAATTTACCTAAAAACAGTTTTCACTCTTAAAATCCGAAATAATGAACCAAAATTCAGAATTTTAAACACACATCATAAGATTATCTATTTTTACCTCTAACTTTATACAAACTTCCTCACATCACACACCCTACTTAACTGAAAATTTAATATTCAAAGACTTCTAAAAATAATTACTTAAACACCAGAAACTTGTTTTTTAACAAATTCAAATAGAATTATAAAAGAGGGAAGGAGTATTTTTGCTAAGATATTTACAATGACATAAAAGCGGAAAAGGTGTCAACACCAATTAACTTTAAATGGATGTTTAGAATTTGACATTTAAAAGCAATTTTAAAAACAAAACAAATTTCTGGGTGTGTTCACTCCTACATTTCAACAAAATAATTTATAATTCCATTAAAATTAAAAAAAAAGCGCGCGATTTTCTAACAATTTACATAATTTTATTTAAAATATTTCTGTGTAATTAAATTCACATGCTTTTTCCTCTTTTTAGAAAGCCTTAAAATTGTTTAAGAGAATACTTAACTTTAAACATTTAAACGTTCCTTCATTCTAAAATTTATCTCAATAAAAATTTAAAACATTTCTTTAAAAATTTCTATATAATTGAGAACTTTTAACAGGGATTTTTGAAAAGAATTTTCCATTAGGGGCAACACTTCACAAAAGAAAGGAATTTGTTACTTAGTACCAAAGCTTACCTAAAAATTAATTTACAGTTAGGGTAGATTAAACAATATTTTTTTAATTTAGACAATTCTATAAAAAGGCCATTAATTCCAAAAACAACAAACAAAAAATCATCAAATATCACAAATTAAACAAAAAGTGTTCCCAAATGCAATCCTATACTACAATTGTTATTCTAATAGTCTGTTTTGGATGCTTATTGACAGCAAATGCACAAATGACATTTTCTGATGGATGGGGCAAACGTTCAGTACCTTCAACATTTGCATTACGTTCACCCACAAAACGTCATCCACCTCCAGATTTCGTTCCGCTGACTGGAGCACGAGGGCCAGTCAACGAGTTTTTTGCAGGTGGAGGTAAGCAAACCATTCAAATAAAAAATAAAAATTGGGTGAAGCTAAACTTATAAAAATAAATGATGGAGATGATTAAAGTAAGTAAAAAAGGAATTTATATTTAGAAGAGGATGCAATGAACCCAGCTATGGAAGCTTGCCATGTTGGTTATGCCCAACGGTTGGTTCAATTGCATGAACAAATGCTGGTAATATATTTAATTGAAACGTAGAAAAATTTTTTAAAAAATAGTCTCTGTATGGCACATACCAACAATGTCAAGTTAAAGCAATGGGGACACAATCAAAGGTATAAAAGATATTTTGACAAAAAATTTAAAAAATAATTCTAAATTAAAGGCCAATTCTGCGGCACCTAAGTCTTAAGAAGTAAATAAAAATTTACCAAATGACCGACGAATCTCAACAATTAAATTTAAAAGAAAAATTACAAAAGATAGTCTTATAAATTAAAAATTTTCTTATTTTTTTAAATGTAAAAACTTATGTCGCAAAACCTTAAACAAAAATATGTCCGCTGCCAATACTAATGTTTCCCTTCACCGAAGTCATATATTCCTTTCATAACACAAATTGGAATATAAAAATAATTCCTTACAATAATTAATTATATAGATACTATTCTAACAGAAAAGTCCCATTATTCCAAAAATGCCACATATACAAACTTCGCACAAAATAAAATTAAACCAACCGGTAAGTCCCCAAAAATAAATTAATTCCATCTTGCTTTTCAAAATCACTGAACGTATTGCTATAATAACGAGACAATGTTTGTAATACATCCCTACTTCTTTCCTAATTTGTTTTAAATAAAAAAATATTATCTTTGTACTTTATATTACTTGAAAAACAGCAGTCCTCTTGTAAGTTTTAATGGAATGAACAAGTTGAGATCCAGCATATTGCCATGCCTTTAAAGAAAATTTTTCTCACATCAGGCAATTTTTATTTCCAAAAATTTAATTCAAAAATTTACCAAAGTATCCCCATGTTCATCATATAATTCTTCAAAACTTCTACAAAATTCATTACTTAATGATTGGGGAGATGGAGAATCTAAAAGTCCCATAGAGAATAATTGCCAACAAAGAGCTGCTTTTCCTAATCCGAATTGTGCTACCTAAAACAAATTTTTATTAGATTTTAATTAAATATTAAAATTCAAAAAAATCCCCTCAAAACAACCAACCACTTACTTACATTAGTTCTATCCAAACAATCAACACAATTTGACCTAACAATTCCATGTTGTAAAAGCATTCGATTATCAGAAGACATTTCTGGTTCAAAACGATAAACAACATCTTCAGCCCCAAAAGGTATTGAATTTAGATTTGAGGGATCTCGAAATTTAAGCGAAGGAAAATTCTAAAAATAAAAAAATCTACAAATTCAATTTATTTCTTTACCTGAAACCATCCAGTAGCCAAAACAACTCTTTGACCAAGACGGTCTAATTGTTGAAGTACTCGACCTGTTTTATTACAACGACTAACATCAAAACTAATATAGTCAATACAATGTCCAGAATGTCGAAATTGATTTAAATATTGAATTGTCTATTTGAAATTTATTTTTAGAATTTTTTTGGGGGAGAAGAAAAGATAGGGGAACAAAAATGTTAACAAATAATTAGTGAAAGAAAGGGAATGATTTAAAAAAAATTAAAAAATAAAAACAAACTTTACAAAAATTATCGTGAAGTAAATTTTCATTATGTTTCTGTTCCATTCTTTTAACTAAATTTAAAACAATAATTGGATGGCCATATTTTCTCCTCAAATCTTGAAAATGTATTGCTGTTGTTAAAGCATTTGGTTCTACACGATCAATCACTATTGGAGGTTTTCCAACAACCTAAAAGAGTGTTTGCAATTACTTTTTGATAAAATTAAAGTATTGAGAAATTTTAGAAAATTATTTTTTGGAGAAATTTGGATTTCAGGAAGAATAAATTTCTCTAACATTTAAATAAACTTTTTATTAAAAAAACTAACCATTGGAGCCCCTCTATGCATTGAATCTTGTGACCAAAAAAGAGGGACGGACCCTCTTCGTTGAACAAAAGCAGAAAATTTTCCAGAATTTAAACTTCCCGAATTGCTAACTTCCCATACAATTTGCTCAGTTTCGACATCATTAGCTACAGCTCCTTTGTAATTTGTACCTCTTTTTAAAAAACGAGTGCCAGCAAATTCAGCAGAGCGTCTAGCCAAAAGAATTAAATCAAATTTAGCACAGGGCAATTCTACCAATTGATGACCTTAAAAATGAAGAAATATATGAATGTAAATATCTTTCTCTTTAAAAATAAAAAAATTATAAGGAATTTTTTAAATTGAAAAATAAAGGAATTGAAGGCCACAAAATATAAAGAAAAATTCGTGGCGCACTAGAACTCGAATCAACAAACAAATTGTTAAAATGAAACTAATGGAAATATTAAAAGAAAATACTTATAAATTAAGTGGGGGTAATACTCATGTCCTTTCAAAAAAATACAAATTAACCAATATATCCATGTACAAGTTCTAAATACCATTTTTTATTCACCTTAATTTAAAATAAAATCCAAATTTCAATTAAAAAAACCAACCCGGCTCTTTCTAAACGGTTCAAGTAAAAAATCATTCCAAACAAATTTTTGTTCACTTTCCTTAAATTTATAATTATTTTTATTCCATTTAATTCCTTTTTCTGCTAAAGAATTTTCTTGTAAAGTTCGACTGAGTTTATATGTATAAGAAAAATAAAAATTTGTTGTAAAATCAACTGTCTAAAATTTTTTAAAATTATTTTTAAAAAATTCTAAAATTAACCTGAAATAATTTTGCATATTTTTGTTCTTCTGGAGGTAAAGGAGTTGAAGTTGAAGGTAAATAAATCATCGAAACATCTTCAACTTTAAAAATTGAATGATTTCCAATTTGACAAATTTGTTTTGCTTTAGAGACTAACTAAAAATAATTAAAAATATTTTTTCAAAAAAAACCAAACAAACAAGTAAATAATATCCATGTAAAAACCGAACAGCTCCAATCAATCCACATGCCTTCTCTAAAGTTCGTAAAAGCCCTCCTCCCGTAGAGACTGTACTATTTCTTTTTCTTCCCCATTTTTCAGTTGGTGTCACTACTAAATTTGTTAATTTTTAAAAAAAATTTTATTTAAAAAATAACTTGAACTTGAAGAAACTGTTGCAAGAAGTTCACCAATATCAGCTAAAAAATATTAAAAATATTTTTCTTTTTTTAATTAAAAAAAAAACCTTTGCTATAATCATGATTTGGCTCCCCAACTATAAATTCATTTTGTGTAATTCTGTCAATTTTAAGCGTTCGAAATATACTTTCTGTTGCATCTGAACCAATTATATAGAAATGTGTAGGGGTTTCGTAAACACTTAAAGAATAAACTCTGTCCATTCTATTAATTTTTAAATTTAATTATTAAAAAGTAGTTAGGCTAATATTGAAAAACCGACAGAATTCCTCCGACCAAAACTCCATCGACCAATCCGCCCAAAAATTAATCGACCAAAAGGCTCCCCGACTTTTCGTTGAAGGATTTTCCGTCAATACTTTTCGTCATTGGACCTTACGTCAACGGACTTTTCGTCAATGAAAAGAAATTTAAAGAAAAATTAGAAAACCCTAAAACGGTTCATAATATTAAGTAATAATATTTTTTTCCTAGACATTAAAAATCCGCTAAATGATCTAATACCTACCGATAGAAACATCAACCGACTAAAACATCTTTCGGTTGAAAACATTCTTATTAAAAAATAATTTTATTTTTTCCTTCGTAAGAGAAATCTTCAAAATCGTAAATCGAAAAAAGTATAAAAATATTGAAATCGAAAATAATTTATAAAATTTTTGAACTCGAAAAAAGTTAAAAAAATTGAAAAATAATTTGTAGGTCTTTGTTATGTTAGGTTTCGGTTGGAACTTTTGCTTGAACTCTTAGGAATTAAGAAAGCCAAGGGGCTAGGGTTGGCAGATCCTGGTAAATCACGGATACCCAAATTCGGAGCAGATATCCAAACCAAAATTTAGGATATCCGATTCTCCGGCACTAGTTCCGGCATTCCGGTATTTAAGCTCTGGAGCTGGTGATTATCGGAGACGCTCCATGTTGGCTCCGGGCTCAGAGTGGAAAATCAATGAATAATACATCTAGAGTTCTTCCTTTTCAGTACCACAGTCCTGTCTGGAAAAGGGGGAAAACACAGAAGCAGATAAAAAGGCGGTATGGGAACAAAGAGCAATTCTTAATTTTCATGTAAATTTCTATTTTTAAATAAAAAAAATTTTTTTTTAATTTTGTTTAAAAATTTATTCCATCTGTTTATTTTAGAATTTTTGATTATACTGTTAAATATTCAGAATTTTTTTTTTAAATTAAAAATTAAAGTTACAAAGTAAAAGAAAGCTTTATGTACAGTCGTGGAAAAAAGTATGGAAGCGCTAGAAAATTTTTTCTTAATTTTTAATTTTTCATTCAAAAAATACGTTCTATATAGCAATCGAAAGCTCTATTCGTATCTCAGTTGACATGTTTCTGCATTTTTCATGAAAATGAAAATTGGCCGAGATAATCCGGATTTACCGGATATGCCAAATCCCACTTTTTCGGAAAAATTTTTCGGAACAAATTTAACAAACCCATTTGATAAAGCATATTTTTCTGAGTATTTTCCACAAAACCGCTTATAAATATCTTTTTCCGGAACAGAGATATGATTTTTTGAAAATGGCATTTTTCGTCAATTTTTGAAAAAATTAAATTTTTAAGGGAAAAATACGATTTTCAAAAAATCATATCTCTGTTCCGGAAAAAGATATTTATAAGCGGTTTTGTGGAAAATACTCAGAAAAATATGCTTTATCAAATGGGTTTGTTAAATTTGTTCCGAAAAATTTTTCCGAAAAAGTGGGATTTGGCATATCCGGTAAATCCGGATTATCTCGGCCAATTTTCATTTTCATGAAAAATGCAGAAACATGTCAACTGAGATACGAATAGAGCTTTCGATTGCTATATAGAACGTATTTTTTGAATGAAAAATTAAAAATTAAGAAAAAATTTTCTAGCGCTTCCATACTTTTTTCCACGACTGTATATATTTAATAATTAATTAAAAGAAATTCTACCAAATTAAGAAATCTTTAATTTTTTTATTTAAATTTTAAACCACGAAATTTCAGTCTAAAATTATTTTACTAAAAATTAATTTTAAACTTTACTTTTTTTATTATCATTGTTTTAATATTTTCTGTTTAAATGACAAATTAAAATTAGTTCTTTTTTTTTAAATTAAATTTTTAATATTTTACACGCAACTTATCGAAATACTACAAAAATATTTTAAAAAATTACTTTTATTTAATTTCATGTCAAATAATTTTTAAAAAATCATTTTAAATTTAAATTAAAATTTAAATTCTCTCCTCCTTTGAAAATTTAATTATACTCTAAATATGCAAAATTTAACAAATTCTTTTTCAAATCAAATAATAAACGATTTATTATTAAATAATAATCTTCCCCATCATTTGGTATTTTCTTAAAATTATTTAAAAAAATTTAATTTAAATTTAGCTTTATTTACAATATAAAAATTCTGGGCAAAGTTTATTATTGTTACTCCCTGCAGTTTTGTTGAATTTAATTGGTATACCTGGAATTACTGGAAATTTATTTTTAATTTATGTAACAATTAAAGAAAAGTTTTTTTTTAAATTAAAAAAAAATCAAAAATAAAAATTAAAAATTAAAGAAAATTGAGAGGGCCAACAAATTATTTATTGGCTTTAACTGCTTTTTTCGAAATTCTCCATCAATCTGCCCATTTTCTTTTTCTAGTTGTTGCTGTCAGTGGAATTAATTTAATTAATTATTCTACCGCTATAATATTTCAATTACATTCAATTTTTGGTATAGCGGCAGTTCAGATTTTGTTTGTGTCTACAGCTGCTGACAGACTTTTTTTCCTTTTTTAATTCCATTAAAATATGTTAAATTAAATATTCGCCCTTATTTGGGTTTTCATTTATTTTTGGCTATTTCAAACGGAATTTGGATGTCAATAAAAGCTTTAAATGTGGCATATAAATATCCGACAATCCCTGTGACTGGACATATTAGCGATTTATTTGTTTCAGATATGGATATTATTTTTGCATTCTTTATGTATTTATCCATATTAAATGTTTTAATTTATATTTTTGTTTGGATAAGTGTTCGGTATTTGAATACAGGTAATTTTTTTGTACTTGCAGAAAGAATATATGAATAAATAAAAATAACCCATCCTGGGGGCATGTGATACAGTCTGAACTCATTTCACGATGGTTCTATCCCATCTCCCATCCCCAACATTAACATATTCTCTCCCTCTATTATTCATTAAAATAATTTAAAGGAAATACCGAAAGCATTATTTCTGCAAATAATCAATCCAATCTACTTAAATCTCTCATTCTTATTGTTTCAATTGTTATTGGTGGTTATATAATTAATAGTATATGTCTGAAATTTATTTTACCTTTATTTAATTTAAATGATATACAAGTAAAAAAATAAGATTAAAAAATATATCAATTTTTAAAATTAAGATATGGTTTTTTGGGGCCATTGGAGGTATTTTAATTAATATTGGCGCCTCTTCTGAAACACCGATACTTTATATTTTTAGGTTATTTTTAGAATTAATTTTTAATTAAAAAATTATTAAAAAATAAACCCCCTTTTTAGTTTATACATAAAAATAGGAGCCTCAGAAAATAGGAGCCTAATTTTGCTCTATTTGGGTCTGTTATAAGATTGTTCTGTTCCAAAAAATAACTCATTTCTCACTTATTGAACGTTAGGGTATAATTTGGGTTTACTTTATTACTCGTAATAAATTGGGTAGTTATTTATCTTTGGCATGGGAGTTAACGTAGAGAACGATAAAAAAGGAATTGAATAAAAACTTTTGACAGAATTTTTAAAAATTATTAATTTAAGTAATATTTATCGTGAGGCTTTCAACAAACAATTTAAACAATTATTTTGCAAGAAATTTCAAAATAATAAAATTATAATTAGTCCTGGTAATGTTAACTATATTGGTGGAATGTTAAATAGTAAAGTTATTTATGTAAATAAAACAAAACAAGCAACAAAGAAATAAAATGAATGATAAAATTAAATTAATTAATTTTGTTTGAAAATTATTTTTATAAATAGCTCTTTTATTGTAATTTTTTAAATTATGTACATATTTATTAGGATTCGGATTTCTATTAGGAAATTAATTTTAGACTAAGTAAATTTCTGATTGTATTACCTAATAATTATTATTTTTGTAAATTATTCTTAAATTTTTCACAAAGCCTCAAAAAATTACATAAATAATTTTCAAAATTTTGTATATTTATCAAATAAAAAGTTTGAGTTAATTTGGAATTAAATTTGAAAGCTTGAAAAGTTTGGATCTTACTCTTTTAATTTAAAAAATAATAATAAAGCACGTAATAATAATAACAAATATTTTATAAAATTATGTCAAAACCCTTCTTTTCTTTTATGCTAAACTTATTTTTTTATTTTTAATTGTTTTTAATGTCTGAATTTATTTTTTTAAAAATAAAAATACAAATTAATCTCAAATATGTACTATATCATTTAAAAGCTCAAAAAAACATCTCCATACGCAGAGATGATGAGGACAAAACTGTTTGACGTATATTTTAAAAATAATACAAATTTTAAATAATTAAAGGGAAATCTCTTTAATAATTATTTTTAAAAATAATATTTTATAAATTGTTTTTCCAAATTATTTTCTCTAATCAAGCAAGTGTTAAAAATAAATTATTTTATATTAAAAAATATACATTTTACAAATATTTTAAAATATTTTCATTATTTATTTAAAGATAAAGCACGTAATAGTAATAACACTTTAACATTTTTATTTAAAAAATAACAAGTCTAACAGTACTAAAATAAATACCAAATTGTTTCATTAATTTTTCTTTTTTAAAATTAATTATTTGAGCATAAATATTTAATTATATTGTTATTTTAAAAGGGCGCGGTTTTTAAAAATAAAAAGTAATTTTTTATAAATAATGGATATATAAATATTACTTTTTTTTAATATAGGTACATATTTATTTTTGAATTTTTTTGTCTATTAAATATTTATTAAACTTTTTAAAGTAAAAAATAATAATTATCAGTACAGTATTTATTTGAAAATAATTTATTTATTAATTGTTACCATAAAATAGATTTTTTTAATTTAAAGAAAGTCTGGCTATTATTAAATTAACAATAAATATTTATTTAATTTTTTGTTTATTTAATTAGGTACTTGAAAATTAAAAAAAACTAAAATAAAATTAGTGGTATGCATGTATTATTTAGACGGTACAAAAAAAATT